CATGTTTCCATCCCTGCTAGCAGGTGATTTGCATTTTTTGGTCCTTTTGCTTAAATTCTAGCAGGGCACGAACAGAACGACAGAAATGTATATGTAGATATAGATACATTTATTACTCAGTAGCTCGGCATTTTCTCCTCAAACCTAGCAACGCAACTATAAAACAGCACAAAATGTTACACATAAAGCAGCAATAAACCCAGCAGAAGTTTGCAGGCCCTTAGTCTTTTATTTTTTTTTGCTTTTGCTTTTGTTTTTCTCTAGAGGAATTCGGCTTAGGAAACTGGCTAGCTCCAGCAGCTGGTTTAACTTAAGTTTATGTATTTATAGAAACATTCAGGAACAGCCACCCTCCTCCTAGTCCTCTCTCCACCCCCGCCTCCTTCCCTTCCCCAAGAGACACACAGATAAGGGAGCGCATTAAGTCGGTTTGTTCCAACTATGTCATCTGCAGTGCCTTGCATGGGTCTGAGGTTTACAAGCTTTGTATGTATTTTAGATAACAGCAATAAGAAAAAAAAAAGAAGTTTGGCGTGATTGTTTTTTTTTTTTTACCTTCATTGTTCTCCTTGGTGGCATTTATGATGTCATTGGCTGAACACCTGCCGTTCTCCTCCTCTGTTAAGTGGGTGACAGGTTTATGTTGCAATATGGCATCCAGCTCATGAAAGAACTTCATAGTCTTTGTAGCATCCCCTGAGTTGTGGGCATATTTAACTGTCCTATATTCATATTTCAGGTTTTTATACTTTGCCCGACACTGTTTCCAGTCTCTGCAGATCCCCAACTCCTGAAGCCTTTTAGCAATGTAAATAAATATCCCTTTATTCCGTAAGGTCCCATGGAGTTGCTTTCTGATATTTTTTTCTGACCAGACGCTTAGCAAGGCTTTAACCTCCTCCTCAGTCCAATGCCTTCCTGCTCCACTCTCCATGTTGAAAGTGACCTGGAAATGATTCACTATTTCTAGCCAAGATTGCGTTTCCTAGGAAACCAGACGGCTGATTGTCAGTAAGCTCCACAGAGATGAAAGGATCCAGTTTTACTGGCTCAAGCTGCCTGAGGGGAGTAACTTGAGAAACTGCCAAATAAGCAGGTCCCGTCTTAAGAGGCGGAAAAATAAAGCAGCTCGGGCAGAAATGATTGCAAAGTCTGTTAATCATTTGGCACCCCCCAAATAAGCTGTTTTCTGCTTTGCAGAAATTAAGCACAATTCCAGAGATGGAATGCATGCTGTAACCTTTGTTATGCAATGGGCTTTAAATATAATCTCTGCTCTTAATGTACATGAGAGCTCTAAATAAGCCTCCCTCCATCTGGCCCCCTCCAGAGGCATTGGATCACAAGCCTGGCTGGATGCTGAGGATGATGGGAGGTGTTGTCCAACGTATTGTCAGCGTATAAATTTGATGCATATGTCAGATTTATATTGTTCTGTTTGTTTCCTGGTATGATTTGATTGCGTATGATTACCTATGACTAAGTGTTGTATCTTATGATTCTTGATGAATGTATTTTTATTCTCCTTATGTACACTGAGATCTTATGCACCAAAGACAAATTCCTTGTGTGTCCAATCACACTTGGCCAATGAAGAATTCTGTTCTGTTCTATTCTCCTCCATTCTATTCTTATTCTATTCTACACACACACTAAACACTGTAAACTATGATTTTGTTTGGAATGAAAACATTTGATTTCCTTGATTCCTTGAAACTTTGATTCTCTTCAGATTCGCTAGCAAATAATGCCTTCAGTTTTGTGAAATATTATGTTTGTTCACATGGTTTAGTATCCCTTTCAAAACTGTGATTCATAATTTCACACATACACATACTTACCCTTCTCCTAAATGCTTGATTTGCCTTCACAGAGTCTTTTGTGATTCTTAACTAATGGAGTCACTGTACTTTGAATTCTGAGTATTCAGGGATATTCAGTAATAGTTCCACGTCAGTAGTCTTCTGAGTGAATCAAGTATAATATGCTAAAAGCAAACTAAGGAAATTTAAGTTCAAGTTTGTGTGGAAAACACGTCTATATTCTTTTTTGTATTGTCTAGAGCAAATCCATGACATCCTTTACAAATGCAAGATTCATCTTAATAGAAAATGAGATAACACACACTGCAATACCAATTTTAATTGGTTTGCAAATTATTTCAATTAAATTTTCCGTTTTATATATTCAAATAAAACATTTCATTAAAATATTTATTTGAATATAGAAGATATTTTGGAAAGAATCATACATTCTGTAGATATATATATTTTTTTCTATATAAATGGTTCTTTTTAAGTGTCTTCCTCCCCCCCCCCCAAAAAAAAAATCTGGGTTCGGTAACTATCTCAGGTGCTAATTGAGTTCCCCTGTGTAATTGCCATACTTGCCCAACAAAGGAACCTTGGTATTCCATAATACTTGGAAGATGTTGCCATGGCAGCTAAATAACTAGCCAACAGATTCATATTATAGGATTCTAAGAAGGAAAAGGGGAAAGGGGATGCCTTTTTTTTTCTCTTCCCCCACTAAAGATTCTTTAATCTAGTATTTTTGATGGGATGCTTTGAACCTGACATCCCAGCGAACTTGGGGTTCTTCAAATATAATGGGAACTACGGCAATGCTTAATGAAATTCTGGGAATTGTGGTCCAACTTGATATGGAAGGCATCAAACTGGGAAATGGTGCTGTAAGCACTCTTATGTCCTATTGTATTGTATTTGTATTTGTATTTGGTTTATTTGTATGCCGCCCTTCTCCAGGAGGGA